GAAGAAAAGGGATCACGTGTGTACTGTTGGTGGGACTACAAATTGGTATAACCACTGTGGAAAAACATTGTGGAGATTCCTCCAAAAAAAAATAAAAATAGAACTACCATATGGCCAGCAATTCTATTCTGGCTATTTATCTGAAGAAATCCAAAACAAAGCAACTTAAGTGCCCATCAATAGATGATTAGACAAAGAAATTATACATATATACAATGAAATATTACTCGGCCATATAAAAGAATGAAATCTTACCATTGGTGACAACATGGATGGACCTTGAGATAATCATACTAAGTGAAATAAGCCAGACAGAAAAAGTTGAGAACCCTATGATATCACTTATATGTAGGATATAAACCTAAAAGCAACAAACAAACAGGGCAAACAAACAGATACTCATGAACATGGACAATATACTAATGGTTACCAGAGTGTAGGGGAGGAGTGGGTAAGAGGAGGTAGATGGGGTAAAAGGGGTCAAATATGTGATGACAGAAAGAAATCTAGCTTAGGGGGCAGAGATATGATGAGACAGGTTGCTTAAGGTAGTTTGTTAAACTAGTTTGAAGGTGTATGTGTGCGTGTGTGCATGTGTGTGTGACAAGAGGGAGAGAAAGATGAAAGAAATATTTAAAGATGACAAAAATATCAGTGGTTGGAGTGTGTGTGTAGTAAGTGTATGTGTGTGCACGTGCATGTGTGTGCAAGTGAGTATTTGTGTTTGCATGACAGTGTTCAGGTGTGTGTGTGTGTGTGTGTGTGTGTGTGTGTGTGTGTGTGTGTGTTCATGATGCTAACCAGCACTAACAGGGATAGGAGCCAGATCAGGTAAGAGCCTTTAATGGAATAGTAGGAATTCAGAATTTTTCCTGTAATTAAATGGAGAGCTAGTTATCTGAGAGTTTACACACAGGTGCAACGTGGTCAAACTGGCATTTTAGAAAGAGCTATGTCAAATAGTATCCCATCTTGGAAATGGGAATATTTCTCAAATTCTGTGTGTACTTGAACATTTTCATACTAACCCCCTTCAGCTAAAATATTGTAGCCAGGGGGGAGAGCCACAGCGTAGATGCATCCTCCCCATACAGGCTCAGTTCTGTAAAGCAAATCTGTTGGGAGGATTCTTCCAAAATGGCATCTGATCAGCAGCCCCAGAGCAGTCTTCCCCACCATAGTCCCACTAAAGTATCTTAGAAGACATCAAGCAGGAGGGGAAATGCTGCCCCTGATACTGCACAGGCAATCACAGCGTTAAGTGGGGAAGAAGATGGACTTAGGCTGGACCTGATGGAGTCACACTGAGGGAAAGCTCTATCTTTCAAAGATTTATATTTCCCCAACAGATTCGATGAGCTCCTACTATGTGCCAGGCTCTGGGCTGAGCTCTGAGGCCACAACAGTGAAAAGTAGAAGACATATTCTTTGTGAAACTGTGGTTGAGTATTGGGAACACCAAGAGGATGACTGAAAACCTGTTAGAACCAAGTATCTGACTACCAAACCCAGGGGTGTCCTACATATCAGCAATAATGACCAGTGAGAAACAGATGTTAGAAGATCCTTCCCATGACCTCCTACTGTACCATCTTAGCAGTCACTTGGTGCGATGGCCACCTGCGGCCAGGTCTCAGGCATTGAACAGGCCCACGCAAAGCAGCCCAGCTTCTGGGTCCCTTCCCAGAGCCTCCCCACTTTCTGTGCTCACTTATCAAGCATTGTACCTGAGTCTTTCAATGCACTTGTCCATGCTGTCGGTCACTTCCATCAGCCAGCCTTGCTGGTAGCATTTCAGGACGGTGGCTTCATCCACCTGTGACCATGAAACACAAGGCCACCTAGTTACAGATCACCCCTGGGTGTGTCACTCTTCACTAGGTAGGTGCCATGCCTCCATGTAGATCACCCACTTTTATAACACAGTGTCAGGGCAGACACTACGAGCTGCTTTCCTATATTCATTCTTTATTCTGCCTTCCTTATCAACAGAACCTGGACTGTGTTTAGGGTGACGCTGTGTTCAGCCCCAGGAGGCAAGCCCTGTCCAAGCTAATCACAAGTATCCTTTCCATTGTTTTACGTTCTCATGTAGATAAGAACATCCATTTGATCCAATACTGACCAGTGAGGTAAAGGAAGGAGTTTTGAGACATTATTTTCCTACTAAAATAGAGTTAGCCATAGCTGGTACTTCTCCTTCTCCTTTCTTCCTGCCTTGAATATAGATAGGGCAGCCATTTTGTAACCATCAGGGAAACCCAAAAGAATCTAGAGATATTGGCCCTGACATCACTGAGCTGCTGAACTAATGCCAGCACTGTTGGTTATGTGAGAAAAATAAAACCCTATTTGTGGAAACTATCATAGCTTGGTTTTCTGTTACCTGAAACTAAATGGGCTCCTAACAAGTACACCTATGTATGTCACAGGTTTAGTATCAACTAAGTGCAAATCACACTGGTGTGTATCACCAAGGCTTTTCTTAGAGCCACTCACCTCCTTTTCTGCTTCCCTATCCTTGGCACTACCAAAGAAAGCTGTGACAGCCACTGAGGGAAAGCAGCCTACACTCCCCTCTCCTGATGGGTGACTTGTCTGTTTCCCCCACCTGACTGTGAACTGTCTGTGAAAGCACATTCTGCGGATTCTATTCATACCACATACAGCGACCTTCATCTGGGGAGTCTACCTGCAACAAAGAAGGCAGGAAGCTATAGGAGGTGAGGGTGGGGCTTGGTTTCCAGCAAGAGGTTTTGGCACAGTTATGCGCACTCCAGATCTGCGCAATGTGCTGTGAGCAAGTTCGACTTCAGTGAACCCGTTTACAGCACTCTTTTGCATGAGGGGTTATTATTATCAGTATTATTTACATAAATAGCCGCATTCTGTAGGTGTTGTTTCTGCAGCTTGTTTTTCCCCTAAACACAAGGCCTGTGGGGCCCTTTCTACCTCGGCACTCACAGACCTTTCTCATTCCTTTGCATGGCTCCAAGTATGCAGTATCAAAAGCCACAGAATGTTCTCTCTCTTATTAATCATTGGGATGACTCCAATTTCTACAGGAACAATGTTGCAGTGAGCCACCTCATATCTGCTTCCCTGGGTAGAAACCAGAAGGGGAAGTGCTGGGTCATCCAGGCAAACATTTAAAATATTAATAGATGCTGTCAAATTCCAAAGTGACTGTCACCAGCAATACATGAGCATGCCTGTTTCCATCACTTGATATTATCAAACATTCGAATTGTTGGCAATGTGATGGGGGGATGACAGCATTTTGCTGTTGCCTTAATTTTACTCTTCCCTGAGGACTGGCGAGGTAAGGAGAGTCTCAAGGGCTTACTGCCACTTGCTTTTCTCCCTTGTAAATTTCAAGTTACTATCTCTTTTCTATTGGGTTCCTGTCTCCAAGCAACTTCCCCAGCCCTCTCTCTCTTCTGGGTCAGGGGTACATCCTGATTCTTACAGATCTGTGTCTAAGTAACAAGCTTATCTCATAATTTAGGCAAGGCACTGGACCCGTTGGAAACTCTGCTTCCTTTTCCAAAAAATGGGGAAGCAGTACACTTACCTTAAAAGGTCATATGAATATTACGCAATATAAGAGAATAATGCTAATCAACATTCATCCAGGGCAGTATGGGCTCCCTAACTCATGCCATGGGGTGTTTTCCCTGGTAGGCCTGCATACAGTCAAGCAGAATGCCCAAGGTCACCCTTTGTGCCGTATGCTAAGGGTGTCACCTTTATAATTTCATTAATTCTCATACAACTCATTAATATTCCCTCTTCACAGATAGGTTATACAGGGATACACAGCAGAGCTGAGAACTGATTTTAAGTCCTTCTGGCTTGATCTTTGGTGCTCAACTGATGCCCTGTACTGCTGCTCCCAAGATAAATTTTGGAAGTAAAATTGTAGGATCAAAGTTTACTCCACTTGATCCTAGTCGCTAGATGTAGCCCTCCTGGCCACTATATCTGTAGTTTCTTTTTTGTCAGCCCAACAGTGAAAAGGTTTTGCTTTAGTTAGTAGTTCTCAGAGTTCTTATACAGTACATTTAAACCTTTTCTTATCTCCACTGGTGAATTGCATCTTTTCTCTAAATAATTGTCCACAGCACCTGAGGTCAACCCTTAGGTGCGGCCAGACCAGGTCTGATTGCAACTCCACCCTCTTTAAACTTCCATCCAGTATCAATGAAACAGAAGCACAGTGACTTGCTGGAGGTCACAGTTAGGAGACAGCATAGCCAGGATGCAGACCCAATCCCTCTACCCCCATGGCCACGTGTATAGGTACAGCAGAGATCTGCAGACCTCATAATAAAAGTAACAGCAACAGTAACTACTCATGACCAACAAAAAAAAAATTGAGTTTCTAAGCCTCAGTTTCTTCCTCCCCAAAATGGGTTAATAAGAGTACCTATTTCAGAGAATTGTGTGGAGGATTAAATCTATAAATCCAAGAACAACAAATGGCGATGACTATTATGATTATATTATAAAGTATTAGCCTGAGGCCTGGTTAATTGGCTTCTAATACTACAGACTTGATCACATTTTACATTGTTATTATCACTCCCAGAGATCCACAAAGGTGTACAGATTAGGGCATTCACTGTAGCATTCTTTATAATCCCAAAGAACTGGAAACAAGCCAAATCAGGAGGCAAGTGGTCTGAACAAATTATGGTACAATTAAACACTGCAGGTAAAACAAGAATAAGTTAGACCTCTGTTTCCTGAAATGGAACAATATCCAAACTATATTGTCAAAGGGAGAAGGCAAGTGCAGAGGCATTGTAATGTTCTAATTATCTAAATCTGTAGCCACATGCATAAGACATATTTGAAAGGATGAAGGGGACACTGTGAACTGGGGAGTCTAGGGCAGGAGAGGGGTTTCTTTTTTATTGTAGTGACCTTTATAATGTCTGAGAGAATCAAGTTTTCAACCTGGAACATGCATTAATTTTATAACAAATGAAATGGTAGTGTTCTGCATCTTGATGGGGTTTGAGTTGCTATGATGCATTCATTTGTCAGAATTCATCAAATGGTGCATGTAAGATGTGTGTATTTCATTATGTGTAAATTTCACTTCACAAGAAACAAAACCATAAACAAATATTGAATTCCAGGCCATAATATTTTCAACTTACTTTGAAATGCATCAAAACCAAAATTGGACAGATGGATGGACAGAGGGATGGATAGGTAGATAGATGGATACAGGATAAGGTGAGTTTGGTAGTGCATTAATCACAGAATTTTGGTGCTCACTGTTAATTCTTCCAATTTTATGTATATTTGAAATTGCTCATAACAAAATGTTATAAAAAGCAGGATTCAAATTGTACATTCACTCACTTATAAGTATATAACAATTATAGGCATATTCATAAAAACTACTAGAGAGTATATAAATAAGAATTGTGCTATAGTGCTGTGATTGTTTTTCAAAATTGTATTTAATATTGCTACATTGTTTTGTAATAAACCATGGCTAAGGTGGAAATATATGATATTTACTGAAATAATATGATATAAACAGAAATAGGTTCACATTGTAACCCCAATGGCAAAGAGCTTCTCAATTTCTGTTCTGGAAGAGTAGTTGGGGATGACCTGGAAAAGAGGGATGGAGTTGAGGGCTGGGTGCAGCACAGCATTCTTAGAAACTGTGAGTAAGCAGTTGTCGGGAGCACCTGGCTCTCCTCACTCCCCTTGGGCCAGTGCCATGCCCAGCTGTCTTAGGACCCACCATCGCATTGGTGATGACCAGCCTCAGGGGCCCAGGGCTGCTTGGGAAGAGGCCCAGTGAGTGTCTGCTGTACATAACCAAGGTCTGCTCCTCTGTCATCTGGGACAAGTAGGACAGCATCAGCCAGAACTGCAGGGGAGAACGAAGCATGAAGGACTCTGTAAGTAGGGGCACCACAGCAGGCCCCAAGCCACCGCCTAGGCGCTGAGAGATCCCCAGGCCCCAATGGTCCTGCCCAGTGCCCTGTCCCTCCAGGCCTCTATTATACTTCAGTGGCTCCTACTGCCTCCAGTAATGCCATTCTTGCCCTTAGGACCTTTAACATCCCCAAATTGCATCCAGTGCTGTGATCTCAGGCATCAGAGAAGCAGAGATCTGAGTCTGGAGCCATGGGTTTGTAGAGATCACATCTCTGCTTCTCAGATCCCAGAAGCAGAGATCTGAGTCTGGAGCCATGGGTTTGTAACCTCATTCCAGGCCAGAGGACACGGTGGGGGGAAGGCCTGGGCATGGGGGCCAGGCCACATAGTCCAGCGTACCTGAGCCCCGTTCCTGAATATCTGCTCATTTCCTCCATAGGTTACGAGCTCCTGGGGAAACTGGAGAAGACATGGTGTCGTCTGAGATGGTGACCTGGGAAGGGAGGGCCCCCACGCCTGTGCGGGGCTCAACGGGGCAAGGTGGCCAATGGCCCTTGAAGAAGGAGTGGTGAGGACAAAGAGAAAAGCCAGAAGAGATGAGGCCCAAGGACAGTGGTCTCTGCAGGAACATTGGTCCATCTGTGACAGAGATAAGGGCTCAGTTTGGAGTGAGGGACAGAGCTGGGTCTGAGGTCACTTTGGGAACTCAGCCTCGGGTCAATGTCAGGGGTCCATCTGTGTTCAGGTTCTGGGGCCAGGGTCAGGGTTGAAGAAGCTCTCATCACTAGACAGGGTGGTCACATTCTAGGATGAAATCACCCTCACATATAATACTTGGACACTCACTGCTCAAAGGCTATTCTTTCTCAAATATGGGATATGATGTTCAGATTGGCTCTCAAGGAGGCTTGTGACAGGCACATGTGGCCAGACCTGTGTCCTCTACTTGTGGCTATCAGGCACTTGAACTGTGGTTTGTCTGACATGCTCTAAGTATAAAATACACCATTGATTCCAAAGACTTAAGAAAAAATTGTAAAATATCTCAATAAATTTTTGATTGCATGTTAAAATGATAATATTTCAGATATATCAGGATAAACCTATTTCTTTTTGCTTTTTCATGTGACTATGAGGAAATTTAAAATCACGCATTTCCACCGTACCAATGTTGATGTCCTAGTGTTGGTGCTGTGCTATAGTTACAGAATAATCAGCCCAGGGGGTGCTGGGTATGTGTTCTCTGCACTATCTTTACAACTTCCTGTGAATCTATCATTATTTCTAAATAAAAAGCTTAAACACATTACACGAGTGTCTCACATTACATTTCGATTGAACAATGCTGGTCCCCATGCCTCAATTTCCCTGTCCGTTATCTGGGCCACGGCGGGGTCCAAGTTGTTCATAATCATGTGCATGATGGCTGCTGCAGCTTTTGTCCTGCAAGGGTACTGCTCAATGGGTAGGCCCTATAAGGGAGTCCAGCCACCAGGCATGATGATGGGAGGCTTCCTTCCTGCTAAATCTCAGGCCCACCTCCCCCAACCCCCAGCCACAGCCCAATCCTTGGCCACACAGGTGTGAACAGCAAGACCTGGCATCCTGCAGAAGTCACCTGGGAGCTCCCAGCAGGAACCAAGGCCAATCTGCTCCGTTGTACCCCTGCCCTTCCGGCGATGGGGAGTTTGGCCCTTACCCAACCTGGGCACCCATTTTTCCCTTCTCAGCAGGCTCCAGCTGGGAGAATGCTGACTTTGAAGCAAAGCTGATATCTACTTTCCTGATGCCTCTACTCCAGATGCAGCTTATTCATTCTCTTTTTCATTCATACCACCAGTGCTCCTGGGCACCAATTCTAGGGTAGATGCTGGGCCAGCAGGCCCCAACAGGAATGAGGGGACATAGTTTCTGCTTTCCTGAGAGAATGCCATTCCCTGGGGTGGTCACAGGCAAGTCTGGGCTTCTGGCATATCCAAGAGCAAGGGTGCTCAGTGTGATACCTGAGCAGGGCGGAAGCATCTGGGAACTGCAAGAGGCAGAACCTCCCACTGCACCCCAGAACTGTTGACTGTGCAATGTGGAGTGAGGCCCAGCCACCGTGCTTTTACAAGGCCTCCAGTGCTGTGCACAGTTCAGCCTGAGAGCCCAGATGGGAAGCCTGAGCTATTTGAAGACACTGGCAGTGCCCTCTAAAGCTCTCCTCGCCCTCTTGCAGGACAATAAGACATGGAGTTTAGAAAGAGATTTTGTATACAGTTTGGCTCCAGAATTACACGAGACTGACTGCCCAGGACAGTAGGCCAGAGGGACCTATCTGGTAAGGATTCCTCCATCTTCCAGTCAGATTTGAGGTCTTCAGCCAACTCTAGGCTGCAGACCTCCACAAATGACAACGCTGCCACCTCTTCTTTCTGTGTGAAGGGCATCAACTAAGCATGCCACATCCACGAGCTTCCTAGTGTAGACAACCTTGATTTCCCTGTCTCTGCTAATTCTCTGGGTTTACTGATTTCCAGCATTTCCTCCTAGCTCCCTCCCTTCTCACTCTGGGTGTTCTTTGAAGCTGCACTCACCAGCACTCACCTCATTTCAATGCAGGGGCAGAACCAGTACATATAGATATGCCTGTACAGTCGCAGCTCCTGGGCAAACTCTGGGGCCAGCAGCTCCTGGACATCCGGGGGGAAGTACTGCAGGGCATTCCTCAGTGCCAGCTAAGGGAGGAGAGTGGAGAGGGGCATTATGGGTGGGGGGCTCCAGGCCAAGCATCATGAGGCTTCCATGACGGGCCATCTTTCCTCACCTGGATTTGCCCCTGCTCCACTTAGAAACCTGTGACCTCACCCAGAGACTGCCTAGTTTTCGCCCTAGGCCCATCTACAACATTACCTCCTCTATGAAGCCTTCCCAAGAAGAACCTTGCTTACTGGGGACCAAGCTGCTTAACCCTGGGCAAGGACCAGACATGGTCCTGCCCTGAAGCTTGTGGCTACAGTAAAAGATGTAAAATCAAGGGGTGTGAGAGTAGACCTCCCAGGAGCCCATAGGCACTTTGTGCAAGTGCAGAGAAGCACTCTCCACCAAGACCTAGCTTGGCAAGTAAACTTGGGCTATACCTGCAGTCCTGGGAGTGAGACTCTGCCAGATCTTGGGAAGCCTAGGCAGAGCCTGAAGCCAGAGACACAAGAAACATTCTAAGGGTTTCTTATCCAACTAGGGAAAGCAGCCCAAACTCCCACGGTCCGCCTCCCCCCCCACCCCCCACTCCCCATCACTCTTCTCTAGACATCCCTGATGTTCTTGGTCCTGCCTCAGGGCCTTTGCACTTAACCTTCCCTCTGCCTAATCCCTCTCAGCTACCCTGCCTTCTCTTGGAGGGCCCCACGCTTCATTCTGTTTTCAGTCCAGATGCCCCCTCCTTAGAGGCCTGCCTGACCTTACCTTCTTGACTCCCAGACTCTCTTCCAGCTTTAGTTCCCTTCTGGAGCTTTTCACTGGCAGGCACTCTGATTTGTCTGTTTCCTTCCTTGCTTACAATCTCTCTTGCTAAGCTCAAGGAGGGCCAGAGTCTTGACAGATTCCTTCATAGTGCTCTTCCTTCCAATACCCAGACTGGATCCTGAGGGTAGAGGCAGGCAAAGTAGGGGAGGGGCATAGGATGATGACCTGGTGTCTGAGAGGATGTTGAGGCCATTTATTCATTAAGATGACTATGGACGTCAAACCACTTTTTGGGTGAGGGGAGATGAGGAGGTGGGTGTGGTGAATTTACTCACTCGTTCCTTCAATGCGTGTCTGTTGAGGGGAGAGGTGGTAGGAGACTCAGAGAAGACAGGTGGGCTTTGGACACTAGAATGCAGAAGGTGACAGGAGAAAATACAAGGTCCTAGCACTGGGCCCTGAGGACACTAGCATTTGGGCAGGGCAGAAGTGTCAGCCAGCAAGACTGGGAGCTGGGAGCCCAGCCAGGGGCATGAATGTTCTGGAGGCTGAGAGCAGAGGCCTAGGACAGGAAGGACAGCCTGTCCAGTGTGCTCAGAGGTCAATATAATGGGCTAACACATGTCCCCAGGACTGAATGACAGGGGTGTCACTGGGACCTTAGGGGCAGGTGGGTGGGAAGAGAGAGAAGGAGAGGGACAATTCAGGAGGGAGCAGAGGGCAAGAGCAGGCAAGGGAGAAAAACGCCAGTTCATGGAGTCTCAGAACCTCAAAAGGGTTTGCAGAGCCATTCCCTCATTTAAGTTTCACGTGGAATAAAAACATATATTCCTTCCTCTCTTGGAAAAAATACTGATCAGAAATATGAATTTCTCACCTAAGAACAGAGGCTAGGAATATGTCCCTGCAGGGGTCTCTCAAGGCCAATAAGCATCAGTATCACCCAGAGTGCTGGACTCACCCTGCAACTCTATATTTCTGACAAGTTCCAGATGCTGCTGCTGCTGGTCTGGTGATCTCACGTTGGAAACCACTAAAGGACAGCAAGGAGGATGAACAATCCACAACTACATCCAGCAGCCGGGATGAACCTTCTGCCCACAGGTTGAATGAAAGAAGCCAACACAAAAGGGACGTACTGCATAACTACATGGACACGAAGTTCAAGAGCAGGCGTGGCTAAGGTATTCTGTGAGAAGTCAGGACAGAGGTTACCTTCTCAGGTTGGGGCCCATTCCCTCTGTCTGTGCACCTAGGAGGTACACACCTGTGCATGTGGGGTTTGGGCTGCTTTCTGTGCATGTTATACCTCAGCACAAAGGTTGTGTGTTTTGTTTTGTTTTGTTTTTTTGTTTTTTTTACTGATGTAGAGCTTCTAATCAAAGCTTGCCAAGAGGAAATAAACATTAAGAAAAAAGTTTCACATATGTATATCATACACAAATTTCACTTTACACAAGACTTAACTTTACTACAAGGGTTCTACTATATTCTATCCTATTCTGACAAGTAAACTTTTATTTCTAATGAATATTACTTGTGACACCCTAAACTGATAAGAGGTGGCAGCTGTAGTCTGAAACTACTGTATTCACTGTTCTCACAGAAATGCAGGCTTCATTACTGGGGCTGAACTTGATATTTTGCCAAGGTGCTAGATGAAGAAGGCCTGATTTAACTGTCCCTGATGCTTTTGCAACATTGTTTAGATAATCACATAAATCAAAAACACAACAAAGGTTTCTGTCAAAATTAATGATTTTTAAATTGTGTCAGTTAATAGAAATGATTCAGTCATTCTATGAAACATATTTAAAGGCTGTAAAAAATTTCAATCTGTTCTAAAACGATGTGTTTATGCACATGTTCCCTAATCATAAAGAGGATTCTGGCAATTCCCAGAATCCTAAATGCAGCACAAAAACTCTTTGCCTATTCTTCCCTTGTATAAGATTTACATTTTAGCACTGCTGAATTTTTCTTTATCCCCCAAATTCAGTAATTTAGCCTAGACATGTCTTATTGTCAACTATGCTACATTAAGTTTTCTTTTCTCTTTCAGGATAAATTATGTTTTTTTAAATCTGCAATTTCATGTGTGTACTTAATTTAGGAAAGTTGTTCTATTTTTGTTCAATAACTTTATCCCCTATGTCTAGAGTTACATAATAGGCATGCAGTAATTATTTCTTGAGTGAAAAATTAAAAAAGAAGCAGCTCTATTTGTTGGCCTGGATTTAATACTCCAAGTCTCTTAAGCGGGGTGGGCAGTTCTCAGCACTGAGATGAGAAAATGTGCTAGGACAGGTTGTGTGAGTTGCCCTAGGTCCTGCAGCAGGGCTGGGCAGGCCAAGGGTGGGGGACAACCCTGGTAACTCAGCAGGGGAGGAAGCTCAGCGAGGACAGGCTGGGTGGAGTGATGGGGTCAGCCACTTCCTGATGAGCACGGAACAGCAGGCACAGCTGAATCTGTCCCTGGCCTTGCCACTTACTAGTTGTGTGAGCTTGGGCAGCCAGCCTTGTCTCAGGTTCCTCATCTCTCGGCATGGCCTACTGAGCTGTGTAGTTGGAAAGATTAGATGAGATAATGCGCACTGCCCAGCACACAGTGCCAGGCCTCTACCCACCTGTTCTTTAAAGACCAAGCCAAAACCTGGAGAGTATTTCTTGCTTCCTGCCCCTCCCTAGCTTTGCAGCTTCTTTGTCTGAAGGTCTTCAGTTTAATATCAAATGCCAAAGTATGCGTAGGGAGACCCAGCAGGAGCCCCACTTGAGACCACTCCGGGTAGTCCACTGCCATACTAATCACACAATGCTACCACAAGCACGTCTGCTCTTCACATCTCAGTCTATGGTGGGCTATGCAGCATACAGAATGTCAGAGATGGGTTTCCACTGCTGAGATTGTGATCTGTTAATTATACAACGTGTGAGAGAAATGTGTTCTTATTGGTGAAATCAGGTATATTCAAGACACATAAATTAGACAGAATATTTAAAGACCCCTTTACCCCCGACTTTGCCTAACAAGGTCAGTGGCCTGTACCCTTAAGGGCCAGAGGATTAATTCATAAAAGGTTCTGTGTTAAGCCACTATGCTGTGGTGACTGGTTATAGCAGCCTTAGGAAACTAAGAAGACAGTGACAGAATCCTATCTTGGATGTAATGTTACTTCTGCCAAGACTAAACCTTTCCTGGGCGGAGGCTGGTCACCTACAAGGAAACCAACCTGCAACTCTGGTGTGTGTGTGTGTGTGTGTGTGTGTGTGAGAGAGAGAGAGAGAGAGAGAGAGAGAGAGAGATATGGAGAAATAGAGAGGGAACATGACCTATGCCTTACTTTCATTCTAACCTGGCAATGAGCCTGTAGGGCAAATATCACGCACCTGACAATTTTTGACTGGCACTATTTCTGCCAAAATGACGGCCTTGATCCAATCAGCTTGGTTTTGTTTGAATCACCCCCATCCCTGCACCCCTCTAGCCCAGCCCCATTTAGGCCCTCGACCAGCTCTGGCTCGACTTCCTGGGTCCAAACTGTGGCTCATGTTTTTCTAGCAGGGGACAGGGAGCTTCTCCAGGGCTGCTGCTTCAGTGTTCCTGATCCCCAAGCCTCAGTCTGAACCAGAGCATCCGCTACGTAACACAAGCATGCATCCCCTCTCTGAGCGTCTTCTGTTCCCTCTCTGTGAAAAAAGTGCAATGACAGCGTATACCACACAGGGCTGTCTTTGGGACTAACTGAACTGACATGCCTAGAACAGTGTCTGGCAAACCTATGTGCCATATGAGGGTTAGCTATCAAAATGATTATCTCCCATACTCATGGCCCTCAAGTTGCCAGTTGTTTCCTCCAGCTGGGCCTCTGCACACCTGATCCCCCTGGGAACTCTGTAGAAACCTCTGCACTCTCTGGGGGAATATTGCTAAGCAGCAGGTCATGTTCTCACCCAGAAACCTTCACAGGCTTTCCATTACTCATCTGATAAAGTCCACACTGTTCTTGGCATTTAGGGTTCTCTATAACCAGGCTGGACCTGGCTATCTAAGCTCTGCATCCAGCTTGGGCTTACACCTCCAATATACTTTGGATAGCCTTGGGTCTACATCTTCACTCACTGCCTCCTTTTGTCATCAAAAGGCCTTTTCAGATTTCTCAGTCTAAGAACCTTGCCCATGTTGCCAAGACCACCTAGGAGAAGCCCTACTAGGTTTCTCTT